ACGAAATTACCATAACCTCAAGTTAGCGTTTCCTTCCCAGTGGAAAACCCTTCTGAACGAAAACACAGAGTATGGAATGAACTCTTCTTGGTTGGAACACCCTACAAACAACGAAAGAGTGGTAAAAGTGATGGGGCCGGATTTGCCACAAGGGATGAAGGTGCAACAATGTGTAAAAGGAAGAAAACGAGGGAAAGGCTTTCCTCTTTCCAAGGAGGGGGAAACCACAATCTCTACCACTATCGATCTCATGGAAATAAGGGTTTTCCAATGCGGCGGTTTAAACCGTAAACAACCATTCTTATTGGATCAGTTGGCCTCCTGCTATACAGTGGACCCTCTGCTGTATGGATGGAAGGGAAAAGCGGAAGAAATACATCCATTGCTGCTATATTCGCCTAAGATAGGGAGAGAGATGCTGAGAAGACAAAAAACCCAACCTTAGGAAGTTGCATCTCGAAGATTCAGGAAACTTAATGGAGACAACAAACCGGTCCCGGATTTTTGCCTACTATGGAAGATGTTGAAGAAAATTTTATCACAAAGACAGGCTAGTATTATGTGGCTTCAGTCTTTGGATCTTACTACGTCGGCAATGTGGTTGATGGAGAGGGTAATGAATATAGATCCCTCCTGTAAACATTGTAAGTATAAATGGGAAACAACCAGACATATCTGGCTGTCTTGTCCCCAGTCTGAGGAACTATGGCAGTCGTGGAAATTACAGCGGAATGATGCGTTAGGCTCCAAATGGAATTGGATTGAAGACTGGATCTTACATGCTTATCCGTCAAAAGGAGGTAAAGTCAGTGATGAGTGTGGGTACATGGCTTTGACCTGTAGGGGGATCATTTTGAACGTTATTTGGAAAGGGATAAATGAAGCAGCATTTAGGAATCAGGATACCTCATTTCATCAACAAAGAGCCATGATCAAACAATCAATTAGACTGACGATTTTGGTTGAATAGAAGCGGGCTACAGGAAGATCAAGTAGAGGGGTTAACTGGTTTTGTAAAGTGTGGAAGAAAGCGGGTTTTTCGGCAACTGTGACTGAGGAAGGAAAACTGGAAGTTGCAAGATGGTTAAGCTAATGTCAATGCGGTATGAGGATCTGAGCTATCTTCTCAGGGCTCGGAGGGTACTTTTGGGACAGACGTAATCTTGCTAGGATTGGACATCCGCCAAATATTAGGCCTTGTTTGGTCCGAATTAGATCTGGTATGGGGATAGGGGATGAAGCAAGATAGGGATCAAAGCTCTTATAACCTGACCAAAGCTGGCGGGTTTTGAAGTACCCAGGTTGTTCTTGTGTTTAATAAGTAGATCCTGTATCTGTTGCAGGTGTGTTTAAGTATGGATGGCCAGAGCGGAACTTTGGTATGGTCCAGTAGAAATGAAAGAGGAACAATCTGACCATTGAGGGTCCTTTCTTTGAGTGATTGAATTTTACTGTGTTTCAAGTTGATAATTTTTTGGAAAGTATTTTTCAGAGGACAGGATGTTGGACCTGATTTCCAGCAATAGACTGAGGTATCTTGTGCAGATGAAGTTACATCGAGCAGTGCTCGCAAGCTAAACTGGTTGAGGCTGCCAGGATAACTCCGGGTTGAATTGTGAGGTCCCCGACCTCGTCCTATTGAATTTGACAATAAATATACAAGCTTTCAAAAAAAAAAATAAAAAAAAAATTGAGAAAGTTGTATATATATATATATATATATCGTCACAAACAGAACTGCCCGGTAAATCGTAGGCAGAGAGAGAGAAGAGGACAACAAACGAGGGGCTGTGACAAACTGTTTCGTCGGAGTTTCACCGACTCATCAGGAAGCTGAACCCTCAACAGTCTGCAGAATCCCCTCACTGATTACACTGTAAATGATCATCTACCTTAACCAAAATCAAAGAAGACTATCACTCACCCACACCAGATAGAAAACTCTACAGACTGTCGGTTCACACCCCATCACAAGCCAGCAAAACATCCACGAAACAAAGAAAGGTCTGTCACAGCCAAAAAATACACTCCAGACACGCGGCTGGCATTATATATATATATATATATATCGTCACATATATATATAAATATATATATATATATATATATATACAGGGTTACCTGACCGAACGTTCGGGGGCCCCAGGGCTGACCCCCGAACGTTCAGGCGTTTGGGGTCCCGTTCGGGGGCCGAACACCTCCAGGTTCGGCCCCCGCCAAAAACTGTTTCGGGGCCTAAAAATAAGTTTTTCTTTCTGAATTGTTTTTTTGTGAGTTTTCTATGATGTAACCTACACGCCTATAAATTTTGAAGCCATTCTGCTAAGCCAAAAAAACATTAAAAATCGTTAAAGATGGGGGTGTCAAAACGCGGTCGCCCACTCACATTTTGTTTTTTTTTTCACTTAACTTTTTGTTTTCACTTTATTTCGGGGCCTAAAAAAATTTATTATTTTTTGAAAAAAATTAATGAGTTATTGATTATGTAAACTACATATCTGTAACTTTTCAGGGCATTTGTCAATGCCAAGAGATAATTAAAAATCGCCAAAGATGGCGGTGTCGAAAAGGTGCTGGCACACTCACTCATTTTAATTCTCTTTTTACTTATTTTTATCATGAAAAAACTACGGCGCAGTCAGGAATTGAGTTTGTAATTGCACTTGAGGCAAAAGGGTCGGTAATGCTGAATGTATATGACCTACGTTTCGGGTCCGGTGGGGTCGCATGAGGGTGTGTTGTATTCGCGAGATTGCCTGAAGTGCAATTACAAACTGTTTTCGTGACTGCGCCGAAGTTACCCTTTTTATCATAGTGTTTATTTTCTGTATTTGATTTTTAATTCAAATTTGGTAACGAATTTGGATGTAGTGCCCAGGCAAATGTTGTTAAGTTTATTTTTCTCCATAACATAGTTTGTTTTCGGAATTTTTTGAAACCTTTTTTTTTTTTTTTTTTGGATCTGCGTCTGGCCCGAACGGCCGACGCCTTCCAAAGGGGTCCCGTACGTTCGGACGTTCGGGTTCGGGCGTTCGGCCCATCCCGAACGCCGGTAACCTTGTATATATATATATATATATATATATATATATATATATATATATATATATATATAGTTTTCCATCTGGTGTGGGTGAGTGATAGTCTACTTTGATTTTGGTTAAGGTGGATTATCACTTACAGTGTAATCAGTGAGGGGATTCTACAG